ATTACAATATCAATAATGATAATAATAACGAGATTTAGACTCCGACCATTACAAAAAAGAGGTGATAGAAAATACGAGATACAGTCCTTCCACAAGAAAGGTCCCATCGCCGACAAGGCCCGCTTGGTGGGCAACAATATTGCAATTCCACTTTATATGACAACAAGACTTACAATTGAGATTTGACAAAAGTGATAAAATGTTGGTATGTATACGGAAAACTCTGCTTTTGAGACCTGTTGGTGTGTATTACTTGCGTTTCTCTATTGTGGGCATTAGTCTTCCGCATACATTCATCTCCTAAAACTATTACACGTAGCCAATCAATCATGCTAATTAATAAAATACTCGCAACATTTAAAAACTAGGGTATGTTTGAAATAAAAAAAAAAATTATTTAAGAATTATTACTCATCAAACAATTCTTATCTGAATTATTAAAATTTATAGAACTTTTTAATAATGCTTAACGAAAGACTAGAGTGAAGCTTGCACTTTATATAATAAAATTTAATTTTATTTATTAATTATGTGAATAGAATTATATTTAAAAAAAATGAGATTAGATAAAATATTTTTACGTAATTTTTCTTCTTTTTTTTTTTCGTTCATTCACTACTTAAACAAACCTTGACTAACCAAACAAGATAAATTTTTTTGACATACAATCAGCCACCAATGCTGTCTGCTGAGCACAGAGACCTTATAAAAGCAACATAATTAAAAAATAAAATCAACAGTCAGATTAAAATTTGAAGCTATCTCCTAATAAGACGCTGTCTCTCTCGTTTTCGGAATCGCTCCAGCATGAACTCATCAGTGGCAGCCTGCCTTCGACTTGCACCATGACCATCTCCATTCGAATCATGATGCCTAGATTCCAACCCACCATTATCATCTGCACCCTTATCCTTGTAAAGTTGTGGATGTTCTGAAAAATATATTGCCAATATCAAAATCATAATTGCTACAGAAAAGTGTAGCACATACAAAACAACGAACCAACCCGCAAGGTAGCAGGACTAAGAATTGTCCTTGCGTCATTAGAAGCAAAACCCAATCAACTAAGGCACCTATCAAGCGCCTTCCGCGAGAGAGAAAAGGCAGCATTTGATTACTTAAGTTGAACAACGTGCAATCAGATTCACTCATGTTCTCCTGAGTGGCTCATTCACACCCAAGGTTCTAACATCATCTACGACATATTCTATCAAAATTGATGGGGATAATATAAGATATGTAGATAAGCAGTGCAAATTTCTAATCTATCTTCATCAACACAGAACTGTATGATCGCAAAAGATCATTAACGACATTCAAGCTTAGAATCTAACATAAGAAGCAAACACCACATGAATTAAGTGCTACTTAGAAATGTGGGTTTAGGTCTGTCCTAGTGTTATTTTCATATTTTAAAGAAAATTACCTTTTCTGAGTTTTTCAGCATAATCCTTGCCACGTTGAAAAAAGTCAGCACTAAAACTTGAAGGAAGGCTGGACTCTGCTTTCGCACGACCCACAAGCTTCTTCTCCTGCAAGAGCTTTTTTGCTGCCTCTGTTTCCTCAATATTTCGCAGTTTGTACCTGCACAGTAGAAACTGTAAGCAATCACTCAACTTCAACAGCAAATAACCCAAGCCTTAGATTAAATTTTTCGTTATATCTTTTTCTAAGATTTCTTTTTTCTTTCTCATCTTAGACCATTTATAAAATGAAGAAATAGAAGCTTTTAAGCAAAATAAAAAAAAGACCTCGGCTTTTAGGCTTATCCATCTCCCTAAATCATGTTTCCTACAGAAGAAAATGTACACTATAAGGGTAGTATCTGCATATTTGCAATCAGTTTCATCGACTTTTATTTATACATCTATAATTATAAATATATCAAATTAAGTAATAGTCTATAGATAGCTATCCCAATGTCAAGTGTAAAAACCAGCTGGTTTGTCTGCCGAATCATTTGGATGACCTCAAATGAAACTTCTATCTTGGAGTATATGATAAGCATGCCTCAACTTGAATGTCAATCAAGATTATTACCAAAGCTGATTCAGGTGATAGTATATGAAACTTTCTTGTTATTGTAACTTAATCTCTTTCTTTCTAACACCATGTATATAAACTAGGGTTGAGCATGGAACTCGCAGAATTCAAAAAGTTCCGAGAACCGAACTGAGTTCACTCCGAACCGAAAAATAACCGTTGACTATTTGACTTTCTCCGAATCTGAACCAAACTGAAAAAATAATTGGTACGGTTCTGGAGATTTCACAAATATCCGTACCGAGAAGCGAACAAAACTGTCCGATACCGTAGCGAACCGAATAACCGAAACTAAGAACCGAATTATAACCTTAGATGTATGTTATTAATTAATTTTATGTCAACTTTGATCCTTTATATAATTTGAGAATTTTTAAAATGCAAATAAAATATAGTAATAACAATTAAGCTTCACTTAAATTTCATGCTTAGTAATACTTGATTTACAATTGAATTTTTCTTGTTTTAAGAAAAAAATAATTTAAAATAGTATGAAAGGTTAAAGAAATATCTTTTTTTTAAAAAATATTTAAACACTACTTAAATTTGTCGAAACGTTTCTTAGTCTTATTCTATCTTATAATTAAAATGGTATGAAAGGTATAAAGAAATAGTATTTTAAGAAAAAAACTATATTATATTTTGTTTGAATTTTAAAATTTCAATGTTAGTTGCACAAATTTAGTTTTAACAAAAGTTTAAAGTTAATAAAAATTTTAATATGACGAAGTATTGATGAATGTTGGATTTTTTTTTAAATAAAAAAAGCATATAAAAAATAAAATATAACTAGGTAGTCATTTAAAAAAAATTAAAAATAATTAGAAATCTCCGGATATCAGAACCGAACAAAACTGAACCGAATCGTTCTGATAGTCCCGAATACCGAACCAAACCATCCTGATTTTTTGGAAGGGTTCTGGAGATTGATATTTAGTGATACGGTTCCGGAGATTGATAACCGACCCATGCTCACCCCTAATATAAACACCCATTAGGGCTCTTATAATTGATATGCCCTAACCCCTATGCATTTCTCAAAGATGTTAGCAAACTCCAATTAAAATAAGTTGTTTAATCGGAAAACAAAAGAACTTACTCTATCGGAAGCTGAATTTCTGCAATCCCTGTAGTCCACTGAGTAGAGTTTTCTCCCGAGCTTCGTCTTTTCACCTAGTAAAAATATAAGAGGGAAATTGTAAAAAAAATCTCTCAACAAGGATAGTATTTTTCAATGAAATTAGTGGGGCCAACTCCAAATGGCGGTGGATTGCAACATGACTTAGCAGTAGCCATGATATCAGATGTGGAAAATCAGGAAATAACCACCCTTCAGCAAAGTCAAACAATAACAGAAACAACAAAAATGCCCTAATCCCAAATGACTTAGGGTCGGCTATAGAAAGCTGTTTCTCCAGTAATGGAGTTTTGAGCAAGCACCTAGTGTAAGATATACACTGTCGAGGTCCTTTTTTACCAGTCTATTTAAAATGCAGTGGATACTCTTCACCACAGAGAGCAACAAGCTCACATTGTTTCTAAGTAAGTGCATCAGTCACGGTTTTACTTCTGCCTCCATCACCAACATACACTTGTTTTGACACAGTGCCAAGAAGCAAAGGTTTCCTATCTTCTTCATAAATGTTGCCAGTCTACTATTCCCACTCAACAATCAGCCATCATCATGATTAACGACCAACCCAACCTCACTACAATATCACCCCTCACCAGCTATCCACATATCTGCTCCTTCAGCCACCACTCAACTACTTTAAAAATCCACTTTACTTATTTCTAGCACAATTTTCAGGCTAGCAAACCAACAATTTAGACCAACAAAAATGATGCAGGCCAAAACTTCGATAAACTGCAACTTAATAACGTCAGCGGAGAAGGCCATATCAATTGATGCATGTGACCATACAAAATAAAAATGAGAATGTTGACACAATCTTACAACCTTCTGCTACAGTTGCAAAAGTACATATAGTGGTGCATATGTACTGGAGCCTTGAAGTGCAAAACATATAGAAGAAAAAAGATGTGAAAAGAAAAAATTTAAAACACAAACAATCATAAGAAAACATATGTATATCACCCACTTTCAGATGCTCTGGAATTTTATATAACTCATCCTCCGCAAGCTTAACACCATTTTCAACTTGGTTTTCTGTATCAATATTCTTTCCTCTTTTCTTTGCCAATTCTTGTTCTACAAATCTCAACCTGCCCAATAGAAAAGAGGCAAAAAAGCATGTATTTAAAAGTTAACACTCTACTTGCAACACTAGTTCATGGCAGACAACAGATATCTGTTCTTTTCCACTATACATTTCCTATTTCCTTGCTACATTCCATCAAGAAATGCGTTCATCTCACCATTTTTGTTCAAGACACCACTGAAATCAAGTTCAATATTCAGCAGATAACCAATAATTTCAATCAATCCAGGTGTAGGATGAAGGTCTCACTCCACCAAATAACTAAGACTCATGAAAAACATAAAGGTTCTTTTGTAAAGTATATATATATATAAAGCTGTTGAAGGAATAAAATAGTTACATATTTGGATCCTCCACCATGACAGCCGTCTCTTGAGCAAAAGTGTCCTGCAAAACCAAATCGTCCTTCTCGACATCACCTTCACCCTTATCACTAACACTGTGAATCGAAGCACTGCTGGCGCCAGCTCCTGCAGCGGCAGTCGATACCGGAGTTGATAGAGCAGGAATACCCGACTTCCTTCCTCTCTGCCTCTGAAGGAATTTCACCTCCTCTAAGGTTAAAGACACTCTGATTTATTTATTTGTTCCCAAAAAAAAAAGGAAAAATAGTCAGCGACTGTGTTTAAGAAGCATGAAGACAAAAAAGAAACAAATGAAGGAAATTTTGGCACCTTTGTTCGTGGTGCTCGCCATCGTCGTCTCCGTCTTCGAGCTCTAAATTTCTTTTCCGAAAATTCTTTGTCTTCATTATCTACCCTCAATTATTTTTCTCCGGTCTCTTTGTCTGGAATTCGCACTTTATTCCCTACATCAACCTTTTTCTTCCTCGTTCCAACCCTAATTAAGCTTGGAAATCGGTGGCCTCTATTTTTTTTTATTTATCATTTTATTTTATAAAAATAATAACTTTTATATAAGATTAGAATTTATTGTCTTATGAATTAGAATTTATTGCTATTTTGTTAGAGGTTAGAAATTATTGTATTATAGATTAAAACTGATTATGTTATAAATTATAATTTATTACTATTATGTTAGAAGTTGGATATTATTATGGTATGATTTAGAATTGATAGCCTTATGAACTAATATTTAGTACTACTATGTTAGAAGTTAGAAATTATTATGGTATAGATTATTACTATTATAAATTAGAATTTATTACTATTTTGTTAGAACGCTTTTCCTACTATAATATTCACACGAATCATATAACTCTGAGAAAAGTGTCAAACAATCTCTTGTCACAAAATTCGGTCAAATCATATTGAATTAATCGGTCTCAATAAATTACTCTAACAAAATCTGATATTTTTCGTTCAATTTGTTATTTAAATTGGTATTTATGAATTTCAAATTTAAGTCAAAATATTATTTTGTATTTTAATTTATTACCGAGTTGAAAAGGAGCGGATTTAAGAAAAAAATAGAACTATAATTTTTAATAACATCACTCATTAGTATTTTATTAGAGATAATTAATATTATGTTATATAACATAATAATTAATGAGTTCTAACATAATAATAAT